GGGGTGCTATGGACAACAATTTTGCCCTCTCTTTCCACCCCATGCTAAAATACATGAATGGTCCACCTCCATTATGAGGGAGACCTGTGAGACAGCGGGTGACCTTGCTGGAGTGCTAGATGGAAGGCAGGGTGGTTTGAAAGGGTGAGAGGATTCAGCGTGGCAGCTTTACCTACCTGCTGTAGCCGCGGGTGTCCATATCATTCTCTGCTGGCACTCAGCTAGTAACCCATCAGTACATCAGTATCAGACTGCAAACGTGTTACCTGAATAGCATCTTTTCAATGCTTACATCCTGGGTACTAAGGAGGATGTGACATGTGTGAGGGAAATGTCCTTCTGTCCAGCATTCTGGATCTTTTAGCCACTTTATATCCAGGTCATTGCCCTGTACTATGCATAGCCAAGGACTTGATACTGTAGATCCTTTCTTGTGTGCTGCTCTAAATGAATCATTAGCCAGTCTTTGTTAAATACCCTCTCCCTATCTACAGTATACAAAATAACCAATGCTAAAGAAATTTTAGAGCATTTGTAACATACAATTTTAAAGGATCTTGTATGGCAGTGTATTATTCCCCGTGGTTTCTGTTTTGGGCATGGTGTTCTAACTTTTGCTTTGGATGCACAAGGTGTAAATCTGAGAAGCACTTTTTTAAGGTTTAAAAAATGGATGTAATAAATAAGATTGTAAAAGGTTTTACGAGGAAAAATGTTGAATGTCAAGTTGAAAAACAAAGAACATATTTATGTATGTACAGTTTGCTAAGCCAAGTTTTGTTTGTATTGATTTCCTTGCATTTATTATAGATGCCATAAAATATTTTGTCTACGTGCTTTTTAATGACAACTCTGGAAACCTCTAAGTTTAGAATGAGATACGTATGGTACAAAAAAATTAGAAGACTTACGTATGCTGCACTTCTAAAAAGAATTAAAAAATGCTGTAACAAATTAACGGTGTTAGGTATATGTTTGAATGAGATCTGGAATACTTGACAAATGGTAAAATACATGGGAAAGTATCATATTAGAAGTTGTGCTAATATTGAAAGCTGTCCTTATTTTGAATTAATGATTGGTCATTTCAGGTGTTTTTGTTTTTTTTCCTCAAGCTGCTTCTTGAAGTTCATTCTAACCTGTGTGTTATTTCTATGTGGTGGGAGAGGGAATGTTTCTATCTTGTTCATGATGATCATGCCCTTTTATTTTCTCTCACCTCTTGAAATGTTCAGTCTAGGGAGTGTGAGAAAGTGATGAGCTGCCAGAGGAGTGGAGGTTAAGCTGGTTAAATAGGCATGAGAAAACTGTTGGGAGATCATAGGAACTTTATAATTAATTCCTTAAATAGAGTTAGGGCTAGTGGTGAAAAGAAATGATGATAATTAAAGGAAGTAAAGAATCTGGAAGGTCACATCATCAAATGTCAGTAGCCCTTTTGAATTCAGTGCATATTTGGCTGATGATTACCTGCAGGACATACATGCACTGTCTGACCTTTGCCTTGCTGATGAACCAAAGGGCAGAGTGTACCTGCTCTGCCTGGCTTCGTTTCAGATGTTTCAAAGCAAAGCTGCTTCTGTTCATAGCCTCAAGCTCTGAGCTCCAGCCATAGAGCTAGCTATAGTTTCAAGGTATTGCCTTTTAATTTGAAAGAGAAGTTGGATACAGAGAACTTTCTTTTGACCTCGAGTGAGCTGCTTACACAGATCAATCCTCCCAGTAAACAGCAAACTCTTTATGATATCTGTGAAAAAGGCAGTCATGGACAGTGACAGACATACATTAGGAAAATGTCATAGATGGGAAAAATGCCTGTTTGTAAATCCTAAATCTCCCGTACCTTCAAAGATAACAATGTCAATCTGTAAGCTGATGTCTTGAGGGAATCACAGACAGTTTGTGCCAGCAGGTCAGAGGATCCCTCAAGTGCCACTTCGGACTTCTTATTTTTGGGACTTTCAGTCTCAACTCTGGCCAAAATCAACATCTGATCAGTTGAAGTGGCTTGAGCAATAGGCTCCTCCAAAAGGAATTTCCTGGCCCTGAACCAATTCCATGATGTCTTCAAATGGGATTTCGCAGAACTGGATCTTGATCCAAAAAATGGGCACAAAACAGTCAAAACAGAAACAAATGTCCATGCACTTCACAGGGTCCTATTAAAGCAAGCTTCATCTCAAGAACATCAGTGACTTGAAGGTCTAGCTTGTCCTGCAAACCCCAATGTGACAACGTACACATGGATCACCACAGCATGGACTAATGGTAAATAGGGCAACTGTTGGGGAGGAAAAAACGCACCCAGAAAGCTGTTAAGCATTGCAGCCAGTGGCACTAGCTAGCTTTGCAGGCTGAGCATCTTGCTCATCCTGATAAGGTCAAGCTGCTCTCTGTGCCTTACCTCTGTCTCATTGGAACACTGTCGCAGAGGTCTTGGGTGTGGACAAACTTTTTAAGAAATGCACAAGTCAGAGTCTGAGGTGCCCTGTTTCTGTGCTAAGCCTGCAACCTGTCATCTGCCCTCTTTCTGAAGCACCTCACCTACTTGGGCTCTGCAAACAGGAGGGATCAGTTTCTTGTAGTGTGAGGAAATGAGCAAAGGCAGTATAGGAGCTGCAGAACTGTGGGTCTGTGCTGAAGGCACACGTTCAAGCATAGATTACATTCTTCATCTTGGGGAGCTCCAGTCATTACTCCATTATATTTTTCTCCATTTCCTTCTGTAGATAGATGCAGTAGCTGCTGTAGAGGTGTAATCATCCCCTTAGCTTGATGCATCTTGCAACTGTGAAGCCTGCTTATTGACCTATAGTCACCTCATTACTAGTGGGTGTTTAAAGGCATAATGGAAACTGGTTGCTCAGTGACTCCAGACTGTGTGGGACTGTGAAGGCACTATCTCATTATGCCTATAATGATAACAGTGAAAAATAATGAGCACCATTTACCCTAAACTTACTGCATCTGTTTGTGGAGTTTTGTGGACCATGCTTTACAAAATCTGAAGGCAGACTGAAAAGTAATATTTCTGACAGTGTTAGGAGTACAAATGATCTGAAGTTGACAGAAGTAGTGTGCCCTTATTCTTCACAGATGTGAACATGATGATACCCCTTGACTGTCCTCCACCCTGTTCCAGCAGTGATTACAGCTTCATTCTGCAACAGATCAATAGTTTCTTGCCACTGGTTTGCCACCCTTCCAGCTCTGCTGCAAATGCTGTGAACACCTGCAGTTTTGCTTTCTCCTTCCCTAGAACTCTCTCCTACAGCTGGTTATTGAACGAGGACAAAGCTGCTGGTCTTGTCTTATGAGCAGTCAGCCCTGGCCCTCAGAGCCTTGTGCTAATTGTGGTTGAGAAATCTGTTTACAACTGATATGCATTTCTCAACATGCTTGTCACGTGCATCTGAGTGCATCTGTGTGCGTGTTCAAAGGCATAACAAACTGGTTGCTCACAGTGTTCAAACTACAGATGCTATCAGGATTTAGCAAATATAGGAGGATTATGGGAAATATGAGCAGAGTCAAGGAGAAGAAATGCAGGTTTTTAATCAAGAGCAGAAGAAAAACCGCAAGACTGAACACAGAAAGGAAGGTAGGAAAGAAGAAGAACAAAGCATTGATCTCCTCACTTATTTGCACTTCCTGTGTTTTATTTGGTGTTTAAAGCGATGGATTGTGGAAAACAAAAGAGCCAGAAATGCCTTAGTGAGGTTTCTGTTTAAACTGTGTGGTCTGGCTATAAAATTGTTTGACTCCTGCAGCAGTCAGTTGCAGAATTCATCTGAACTAGTGTTAGCCTAAGTTGAGGGACAGGAGTTGGAGGGAGAGGGTCATTTGTCTTTTGGCTTTAGAGGGAAGAATGTGTGTCTTAGACTCTTAGAGGTCCCTACACAAGAGAACTAGTCTAGGTACTGGCTGGCTGTTGTGACCTTGGCAGCAATGTTGTGAAATGCACTATAGCCGACTGAATTCTATGGTTCTTGCACTATTTGGCCATAATTAGACCTAGAGGGACAGAGATGTGAAACCTGTATTTGGGAGAAGTTATGCTTGTTTTAATAATATTAAGAACATTGAAATATTCTAATATTCTAATATATTCTATAATAAAGACACAAGTAGGAATGATTTAGACAATTAATATCTTCCCAAAAAACAGTAGATAAAAATCTGTGAAACAAGATAAAAATAAATTAATAACTGCAAGCTTAAGCACTGAAGTCTTGTCGTAGACTAAGGCCTAGTTAAAAGATAGAAATATGAATTATATTAAATGATTGCTCTAAAAGCAGCCAGGAACTGAAAGCTGTGACTTCTACTGTTTGGTGCTGCTTAATATATCATTCAGAAAATGAACTAGTCAAAACTACTTGTTTCAGTAAAAATCTGTTTAAAGACCTGAGAGGTAGCAAATGGATTTGACCACGGTGAGGTCTGAATAAAACAATAGCGCATTTAATTTTTGGAAGAGAGAGGAGGCTTCAGGAAAGTAATGTCCATTTCTTATGTCAGAGATGGTCTTGAGGCAGGAGAGGTGAGACACTGAGCTCTTCTGTGTCAGGGATGATGCAGATGTCCATGTAGTTTGCACAAGGGTTACTCAGGCTCTTTGCATTTTCAGGCACATTGTAATTCCTGGGAGACTGCTATTATTGATGTTGTAATTGTGGGTTTTTTCATTCCATTGTTTTTAAAAAGGATGTTTTAAACAGCTGGAAGGAAAGGTACCAGAGTCCACTTTTCATGTAAGTGCTCACAAGCCTGTCCAATGAGTGGGGCATTCATATCTGTAGTATTGTCTCTATAAATAATTCAGACGTTGTCCGAGAGGCTCTCCTGGCCATTGAGCGGCAGGTTAAAACACATGGTTGCAATTTTGGCTCCTTTGCTAAACTTGAAACATTGTAGAGCTAGGGGTGCAGACTGTTAGGGCAAGGGGGGAAAAAGGTACTGGAAGAAAGCATCATGCTGTAGAATTTTGGTTGAGATAGACAGACAGATAGATACAAAGAAGATGTTTTGGAGCTGAAGTTTCTTTTCTTCTTTTCAGATTTAATATAAGCAAAAA